GGTTTTAGGTGGAAGCCGCGGCAGATGGAGGGGCTGAGGAGTGCCTCCCCCTCGCTCCCTCCCTCTCCTCTGCCAGGTTTCCTTCTGAAACTCAGAAATAACTTGGCTGGAGCCGGCGGGGAGAAGGGCCCAGGGCAGAGGTGTCGCACCACTTTCAGCCCAAGGGACGGATGCTATTTTGGGAAAGCTCTCAAGGCGGCCACATTCTGGGGCGAGCAGGGGTGAAGGTGAAAGGAGAGGGGCAAAAATGTCAGCCTGTTTAGTTTGAAGTATCCACTGCAGTAATGATGCCTTAGGGGAAGTTGTCTTGACCTTTCAGAATGTGGGTGGGGTGGGGTGGGGGAATGTGCAAAAGCCAGTGGTTAGGGGAAAGGGAGGCAGACATCTGAGGAACTGGGGGAGTTTGCTAGCCCAGGAAGGCTGGGTTTAGCCCTCCAGCCTAAGTTCCTGCACCCCCATCGCATGGAAGGGGGCAGTTTTTCCACTTGAAATCAAGCCATTCTCTAATGTTCAAAGGGGACCATCATCTGCCACTGAATCACGTGCAGAGGGATACAGCCTCGGAGGTGACGGAGGGGAACATCTGACAGTGAGATGCCCAAAGCCATACCCAGGCCAGACTTTGCATGGAGAACGTTCAGCATGTTTGGAGGGACCGGCGTTTTGCAGAATAATGCTTCCAGGAAGGTTCGGTCTATGGATCGGGTCACAAGTGTGGGGAAAGCTGCTGCTGAAGAGTCCGCAGACCTGCTGTCCATCAGACTTCACCAAGACCAGGTGGGCTTCAGGCTTTCTGGATCTATTTTATTTTAGAATACTGAAAGCTTCCAGCTGAAATACTGAACTGCACCATTACAATAGGAGGTCTGCTGGTTTCAAGAAGGGAGGCCAAGATTTGTGACACAAGATGTCTAGAGACAATTTAGGAATGTGTTCTTGGTACCAAAACAGAAGTTGGCACACACAGTCTCGCGCGTGTGTGTGCACGCACCCCCCCCCCACCTTCTTCTGTGTCCTTTGCCCCAAACCTTCTTGATTTCAGTGGCCTATTTTGGGAGGGCAAGCGGTGGGGGGAGGCATTTTGTGGACCCTGGTGGGAGTGGGAAACCCCAGTTGATCTACTGCAGATGATCTGAAGACATGCCGGGATTTCACAGTCTACCTGTTCCCCATGTAGAAAATCCCAGCTGGCTCAGACATGCTGACCTGTTAAGAGGCAAGGAGGCAGGCAGCGCGGGCTGTGCTGCAGTCTCCCAGCCAGGCCAGACTGCCTGGGTCACCAGAGCCTCCGGCAGCATGTGCATCCCTGGCCTGCAGAGCAGAACTGTGACGCCCGCTGCCCCTGCTGGGGAGGCACGCAGCACCGAGGGGCCGTCCCCGCTGTCCCCCCCGCTTCTGGAGCATCAGGCAGCAGGACAACCCGTCAGGCACCCACTGGCCAGCAGGGACGCAGCTGCTCCGCGCTTGGCTGTTTTCTCCTCCCCATTCCTATGTGAATCGCGTCTGCTGGATTGTGAACCAGCAGGCAGGGACTGTCTCATTTTGTGGCGGGGGGGGGGGGGGGGGGAAGGACCTTGAAGCCATGCAATAAATGGACAGCTAAAAAGTAGGTGAAGAATTCACAAATGCAGCCAGTGCTGGTGACGGCAATGCCCGGGCAGGTGATCCGAGCAGGCCGAGGGCCGGAGTGACACTCTCCCATGGGCTGAAAAATGTTAGGCGGCGGGGCCTCGTCCCTTGACAACTTCAGGTGGGTTAGGATGGAAACAGAAACTCTGTAGCATGAGCCAAAAATAGAGCCCGTCCTTCCCACCCTCGGGATGTCTTGCCCGGACTTCCTAATCCTCATCACTCCCTTCCTGGTTTTCTCTTGCTGCATCTTCTGCTCAGGATAGTCCGGTGCCCTCATTTACGGAGGACAGTCCTCTGTCTGACTGCTCCCAGGGGACCGTCTTATTCTGAAGGTGTCCACCATTTGAAGGGGTGTCCTCTCTGGTCCTGGTTTAGTGCCACCAGGAGGGAGAGGCAGCCTTGATGCTCAACAGCACATGGGTGGCAGCTCACCTGGCCCCAGAGGGGAGGTGCTTCGCATGCCTATTTAAATAATAACAATAATCTCTAAAGGGGGGCCCTCCCTCAGAGAGGCTCCCTTCCCACTGCTCACCACTGCTCCTGTTCCTCCTCCCCCTCCCCATCACGGTCTCCACCAGCTTGCTTGGAAAGGCAGACAGCCAGTGGGCAGGGGGCCGTGGTATGTCCCGCCCCTCCCTTGCTGCCCCTGTGCTCTGGGCCAGGAGGAGAGGCCGGGAACAAGCAGGCCGCAAAGATGGAGAGCAGGGGCACCCCTCCTGGGGTGTGCGCCCTCGGCAGGAGCCTGACCATCCCTATTCCAGAGGCTGGTGCTGATCACAATACGCTCTGGCCTCCCCTCTGCCCCCACCGCCCCGTAAACCCCACGCCATTACCCAATAGCACCCACTGCTGGATTCCCAAAGCTGGTGCATGCGAACGTCTTGGCCTTCAGCTCCTGCCAGCAAACCAGTGCTCAGTGCTGGCAGTTGTTGCCAAAACATCTGGCACCACGCTAGAGAAGGCTGTCCTATCTGAACCCCCCGACACCTCCCCACATTGAAATCCTAGCTGAAACCCCACCTTTTCCATATAACTGAGCTAAAGGGCATGAAGCGGAAATGAGCGCCTCAGCTTGTCCCTGCCTGACACTTCCTTTCTTTCCTGGGTGTTGCTCCTATGCAAGCTTGTTGGGGCGGGAACCTGTCTTTGGGTGCTTGGTAGAAGACTTTACCCAGACAGCACAGGCCAGTGGCGAGAAATGATGGAAGTCGTGGTCCAACAACACCTGGAAGACCAGAAGCCCCCCCTGCCCCCCCCACCACACTAGATCAACGACATAGATGGGCAGAGAGTGAGAGTAGCTCTGAACTTCAACGGTCTGGGAAGTGCCTAGAAATACTTTCCTCCACCGGTCACATACCCCTTGCAGGAAGACCGTACGATATACCAAGAGACATGCCAATGAGGCCTGTCCTGATATTCCCAGGTCTCTGCTTATGAACTAGCTCATTGCCTGACACAGAGCCTGAAAGGCTCAGCAGAATTCGGGACAAGGAGGCTGAGGATCCAGGCAGCCTGGGGTCGGCTTGGGGGAAGCTGGGGAAGGCCTGCGTCTGTAGGCCTGTACAGGGGAAGCTGCACAGGAAGGTGTATCCTGTTCAGCTCAGCATGTGGCGCGAGAATCTTAGCCAGGGTTCGGCAGCCTGTGGAGCAGGAGGGAGTGCAGCCAAGCCAAGGCATTGATGAAGTTTCATGGGCAGCCTGCCAAAGGCCGATTGGATGAAGGAAAACGCACACGTACACTCAGGGCCTTTTGCTGCTCAGCATTGGCTATAAAAGGAAGTCTCTCGCTTTTTAATCCCATCTCTTCCAGCTCCGACCCAAGGTTTCTGCAGCCACTCACTTAAGAGAGATGTTCCAAGTTTCGCTTTTCATTGCCATCGCCTGGCGGGCTTCCCACTTCTGCCCCACTCCTCCTTGCCAGCTCCATCGATCCCATTATAAAGTGACTGCATTAGCCACTTTATCAGATGAACACATAAAAGAGGGAACGGGAGGAGGAGGAGGAAGAAAGTAGCCTCAAGAAAAGCAATCTGGAACTTCCTCAAATCCACACCCTGCTTTAAATCAACAAGGTTTGTGGTCAGGAAGCAAAAACTCAGTCCTGCTCCTCCCTCCCTCCCTCCCTCCCTCCCTCCCATATGCCCACTCACAAATTAATTGCAATCGCAATGCTAACAACCGGTCCAGAAAAATAGATGCTTTCACCTATCAGGGTCAAAGTGGCAAAACTGCAGCATCCAGTCCTTCAAAACCCACGTCATTCCCTTCCAAAGATGCCCCTTTGGCAACCAAGTGACCAGCAAGGCCAGTGGTGGTAGGGAGTAAATTCTCAAAGAATCAGCATGAAATGCTGGGGACCCCAAATGCAAGCAGATGCCACAGATCCCCCCTCAGTCCAGTATTAAATGTACACTTTTGGAGTAGTTCAAGGAGGAATTCTCAGTAAATACCAGGCTGTACACAGATCATTTCAAAGAAATAAATATCTTAAATAACACAGTGATGCAGTAAGAGTATCCCTACAGTAGTTCTGCTCTAAACAGGACATTAATTGTATGGCATTTTTGATGCAAAATGTTGTCACAGAGCTGCCCCCTTGCCAGAGTTTGGGTCCATGGCTCCAAAAAGCAGGTTATTTCAACCTTGCCAAAGACTAGGAAATTCTGCACTTTGGATGCAAAGGCCAATTTGTATTTTTCTGGATGAGCAAGGACTATTCATTCCACCCCTTTCCATGGGGGCTGGGAGAACAGCACTGCCTTCAAATTCAGGTGGGTCTCTAATGAGTTTTGCTTTCCCAGTTGGAGCTAAGACAAGAAGTCACCCAAAGTTACAGACCTGAATGTGGCCAGACTCTTGATTTCTGTTTCACCTGGGGACAGTTTTCCTCTGCAAAACTCTATAGTGCATCTCAGTGGAAAGAGAGAATGATGGGGGAGGAACCTTTCCAGGATCATTTAAAAAGAAAAGCAACCACAGACAAACAAGACCCCTCCCTTTTTCCAGCATTCTGCCAAACTCTCTGCTGACCCAAGGCTTGTCCTAGAGCAGGGTGTCTCAGGAGGAGGACCACCGCAGCCTCAGCAGACGCTTGGTTTTTATTCCAGGAAAGCTTTTCCCTGCCTCCTCAGAAGGCACCCCCATCCTGCACACCCCCCATACAGAACTGACACATCATGACCATTCCAAAAGGTGGAGGGGGGTGTGCTCGGCATCCCAGCCTCTGCTAACCACGAGGGGGAAAGTGCCTTGGTGGTGCCCAGGCTTTGCACCAGCAGCTCTCTACTGGTGAAGGTTAAACACGCCCAACTCTTCTGCAGTGCCCAACAATCTCCTGTATCGCTTTCCTCCACGGCATCACTTACTGTCCTGGTGGTGAGGTCCCATCCTCTCCAGTGTGGGGGTCATGTGCTGTCGGGATGATGCTCCACAGCTGCCAAGATCTCTCCCCAGCCCTCCACCGGTGCTCTGCTGTGCCTCTTGACTTTGCCACGGAAAACTCCCAGCACATCCCTCTCTTGCCTTCTTTTTCTGCATTCTGCTCCCTGGAAGCCGGCGAGCAGCCGCCGCAGCAAACCCTCGCAGTTCAGCTTGAGAAGTTCCTTCCTTGCAAAGAAGGGGAGGGATTTAAAACATGACACAGACGGCAAGCTGAGCTTTGCAGGGGTTTCCAGGTGCACAGGAGGTGAGCGAGAGAACTTCTTTACACACACTTTGGGGGTTTCCCTCTGCAGCTGCTCCAGCCCCCCCGACTTTAAAAAATAAACTGAGAACAAATTATAGAGAATTATCATTTTCATTTGTAAACTGCCCAACTGACGCTCTCTGGATGGTTTAAAACAATCCATAAGAACACAACTACAGAGTGTAGGCATAAGATTTCCAGTGTAAGAAAAGCAATTTAACAGCTAAAACATTTTAGTATGAAAAATACTTTTTAAAATGCTGACATATGATAAACAGGGCTCCCCCTGCCCTACCCTGGCACGCACACGCACACCCCTTATAGCTGTCAACCCATGGAAGTGTGTGCAAGGTTGTGCTAATGAAATCCTTGGTGTCTTTATTCAACAGCAAATACTGTCATGAACACCTCAGCTACAAAGCGGAGGTGGTCCCTGCCTTCCCATTTTCACCGGTACATGCAAATATGTGCAGACTCATCTGAGGTTGCTTGCCTTCCAGTCCTGGCAGGCCCTGCAGGATTTGGCCCCTGCTCTGCAAGTGAAACATTAAAACCTCCGGGAGAGATGTGGCAGGGTGCGCAGGTGCTGCTGGGCGACACAGGCCCCTTCACCCACAAGGTCTGGACACGGCCACTGCCCCGCCAGCCACGCTGGAGAAGCCCAGCCCCAGACGCGTCCAGGGGCCCAGCCGCTGGAGGTCAGTGATGCCACCTTGGTTCTTGCCCCTCCGCACAGTCTTGCACCGCCCGATTTGTGTGGGACCTCTGCCAGGGAGACGGTGCGGTCGCGACAGCCCCAAGGACCCAGAAAAGCAGGAGAGTCCATCTCCTTGCTGAAGGTTTTGAGCAGGGCTGGACTGGACCAGGACTCGGATGGAAGACCTCTTGGCATGGCGCTAGGGGCCAGGCTGCATGGAAGGCAGCTTTCCCCAGTATAGACCCATTAACGCACTCAGAACTTTAGGGGCCACATCCTCCGAAGTCACATCTGGATGAAACACAGGAGGGACCCTCCTCCTCCACAGCACCCTCTCCTTACACTGACTTTCCGCTGCGATGCGCCAGGCGCCAACGAGCTGGCGCTTTTAATGATGACTCAGCCATACTTGTTTCCCGCAGCTTCCCTCACCCATTGACTTGCCTAGATATCCTTGTGCTTTGGTAGCAATATATTATTTCATAATACTTTGTAAACTACTTTGGTTGCGTTAAGAGAGGAAATGGTATCCAAATATTTAAAATGAACAAATAAATATTAGACCTTGAGCTCCAGGGTGCAAAAAAACAAAAATAAAAAACAAAGGCTGCCAGTTGGATGCAGGCTTAAGCACAGTTTAGCCTCAACCAGGAGGTCAGCGCCCGTTAAAGGACTGTGGGATGAAGAGGGCTGGAACCACTCCAAGCCTTAAAGGGCTCAGTGGCCCGTTTTGGGGTTTGGAACGGGCAACTCGGGACCTGCCACCTGCACAGATGGTTTTGCACAGGCAATCAGGCCGTGTGGGAATGGACAAAGCGCTGGGCTTGAAATGGTGAGACCCATTCAGCCATAGGGTGGCCACGCGTCCGACCTTACAGAGGACAATCCTCAACTTGAAAGGTTGTCTAGGCTGGCCATTGTCTGCTGACACTTAAGACCTGGAAGACAGGAGGACCAGCAGGGGGCACACTGCAAGAGGCGTTGTTCTTCAGAAAACTTATTTCCAAATTGTTTATATTATAATTATCTTAACTTAATGATGTGAGCCGCCCCGAGGCTTCGGCGAATGGGGCGGCATAAAAATGTTTTAATAAATAAATTGGCACCTGCACTTATAGATTAGCATATGCAGATAGTGTGTCAGGGAGGGGACCATGGGTAAGCAAGGCCAGGCATCTGCAGAGGCCACCCGAGAAGAGTCCTGGCGAGGAGATGCTGCTGCCACCTTATGCCCCGCTCTTGCCTGACAAGCAGCCGGGAGCACCTTTCAGGGGATCCTGCCAAGAACCCTCCAAACCCTGCAACCGGCACGGATCTGCCTCCCATGTTTTGCTGCGCTTAACGGGCCACCCTGCCGTGGAGCTTGCTGGGTGACTTGGTGGTCCCTCTCACTGCGTCACACTAAACCTTCCTCCCAGGGTTTTGGTGAAGGGATAATCAGCGCTGGGAGCTGCCCTCCCCGCTTGGATGAGAACATCGGAAGACCATCCCCTCCAGCACCCAGTGGCTGCCAGCCAGGAGCCCACAAGCAGGCCTGGAGTGCAGCGGCGTCCTTCCACCCAACGTCCCCAGCACAACGTCCTGGGAAAATGCTTCGTCCTCAGCACTGGGACCAGCTCCCGTTCCTTCTCACTCTGCCCACCCAGTGGCAGTGGCCAGAAGCTACCAGCTGAGCGCTCTCTCTCTCTCTCTCCACACACACAAATCTCCTACCTGTTCCCTCCCCTCTTTGCTTCACCACTGCTGCCTGCCTTGCCAACCTAGCCCAAGAATTAGGTAGTGACATCACTGCCTCAGGCAGCAAAAGCCGGAGGCGAAGGGGCTTGACCTGCCCCCCTCCCCCAGCCAGTCTGCAATATTCAGGGGTGGTGGAAGATGCTGTCTCCTTGCACTGCAGAAAGGGTCAGCTATTGGTCCAGTTGTTTTTTTCAGGCCTGGTCTGGGAGGGGCATCGTCTCCCTTTGCGCTTCAGGCAGCAAGATGTCATGGGCTGGTTGTGATGCTTATGGCTAGAGAAGGAAGTGCCAGTGGATGGACCAGCAGAATAAGGAACAGTATGTTTTCATGGTGGGAGGGAGGAAGCTTTCTGGCCCACACGTTCCCCTGGAAGGAAAGGGCCATAAGATCTCTTGGGGTCACCCAAAACCTCGAGGAGCTGGCCCTGCTTGGGCCAAGATTGTACCCCGTCCTCACTGAGATCCTGAACTGGAGTCAGACCCACTAAAAGCAGAGGCCCGTGAGCAGCATGGTTGCCCCGCAAGTTAGTGAGCCAAGGCCCCATACTGGATTGGCAACCATTGCGTTATACTGAGAACTTGCACAGCTTGTTCACTGTGTGTGTACACATGCGGGAGAGAAAGGCTGCCTTCTCCCACATGGGCCTGTCCTGGTTTTAAGAGCATCGGGAGGCCTTTCTTTTCGGGAGGCCGTTGCAGGACCGCTCACTGGGGACAAGAGAACCGGCCTTTCCTGAGGCCGCCCCTAGGCTCTGGAGTGTCCGTCCTGCCTGAGGAGGCCAGCCCAGGCACAGTTTCCAAAGCTTTTCTGCAGACAGACAAAGACATCTTTACGTAAGTAGGACTTGGGCATGTAGGCCAGTTGGGTTGGGTGCTATTTTTGCTCTTTTTCTGTTGTGCTTTTGTGTTGTTAATATATCGTTCCACTATTCATTACATTTTTACTTTAAATGTTGTCTCTTGACATTGTTAGCCACTTTGAGTGCTACTTTCTGAGAGAAAGGAGATGCAGAAATGAAATAAATAGATCGGCAAGTGTGAAGCGCTGTGACAGCACCAGAACCCGCGTTTGGGTGTTGAGGGTGGTGGGGGTGTGGGCTGTTGTGGAACCATGCGTAGTTAGTTGTTGAAATAGGGGTGGTCCTGTTGCCTGACCCCAGCCAAAGTAGCAAAACATGGTGAACAGCCCACAGTTCACAACCCAACAAGCTATGGTTCCCTTAATAGGTTGTTTGTGGTTGACAAAAACGCCTTATTAAAGTAGTTGGGTTCAGACAACATGCTCACCCACATTGCACAACAACCCACACTCAGTCCATACTTGTTTGTTTCAAGCTTCTATAGACACAATAGCCACAGGGCTCTCTGGACAGTTTACAACAATCTTAAAATACAATTAAACAAAAGACATAAAACATTATGAAACAAATTCAATAAATAAAACCATCAGCAGGGACACCAACCGTGCTGACCTCATAAAGCGGCCGGATTGGACACGTTTGTTGAAATACCAATGATAAATTTAAAATTCATAATTGAAAATACTAACTTAGAATTAAAACTGTCAACAAACCGCCAATACCCTGGTCCAAGCCCCATCCAAGCTGCAAGACAAAGTCCCCTTGACTAAACAGAGGCCAGCTCAGCTGCATCAAAACTTTCGGATGGACAAACGGCCTCCGCAGCAAGCACAAGGCGTTCCTGCAGCTGCAGCAGGTCCGATGTCTGCGACCTTCCGTCTTTCACTGTTCCCAAGAAACCGAACAGTAGCAGAAATTGGACTACTTTCAGGAGGGTGCATGTGCTGAATCTCAGGATTGCCTTTAATTTGCAGGCATTTCACTTCAAAAAATTCCTCTTCCTTATGGAGAGAAGGAGGCCAGCACTGAGCACCATTCAGGCAATCCAAAGCACCCAAGGAGCATGCAAGGTGGCAGGGCTGAGTGTGCACGTGTGTGTGCCTGTGTGTTCACCATCTCACTACAGCTACTAACTTGTGACTTGAAAACGATGTTGCGATGTGCAGTTAGTCATCTCCCGCTTATGAGGACCCTATGAATGAAAACCCTCCAAAACAGCATATCTAGCACAGCCCTGCTCAGCTCTTGTAAATTCAGTCTGAAAACATCTGGCCAGAAAGTACAGCAAGGGGGTTTAAACAGTCTGGGGGTGGAGCCTAGTGGGTGGAGCAGGTCAGGGGTGGAGCTCGGCTCTTTGATGGTTCCAGATGCATCATGGGTCCAAAGGAAACTGAAAATGAATCACTGCCTGCAACAAGCTCAAAATCCTGGTTTTGTTCAACAAAATACCTAATTTCAAACTTGAGACAAAAATAGCAAATGGGCAGGTAAAATAGCTGAAGCCTGGACACACTACTTGCAACATAAAAAATCATGAATGTAGAAACAGTCTAACAAATGAGCAAGTGAAAGAAAAATGCATGAAAAACATTTACGCAACTCTCAAGAATCTGACACAAACCAGCCTTTACATCCAACTCACTCGCTCACTGCAAAGTTTTCTGGAATAAAAACTTTCTAGAAGCAGAAATGACAAAACTGAAGCTGCCCTACTTTGGGCACATCATGTGAAGGCATGACTCACGGAGAGGACAATCGTGCTAGGGAGAGCCGAAGGCAGAAGACGAAAAACAAGGCCAACCCTGAGATGGTCTTGCAAGAGCCGGGCAGGACGGACAAGGACGGGCATTTTGGAGGGCCAGGAAAGACTCGTCAGCGCCTAACAACCACAAGCAACTAACCAGTCTTGCAGAGGACGCAAGCAAGTGGGTCTGCAGACACAGCCCAAATCTGGAAGGATTTCCCAAATGGGCTGGGAAGCGCCTGTTGCTTTGCAGAAACTGACCAGGCCAGATGACTGTGGCACTCCCACTCAAAGAAAGTCTTGTAAGCTCTGTCTTCTTGCCTTACACCCCTTTTTACTGTATGGTAGGAACAGGAACCCCGATCAGGATCTTAAAGTCATCCTTTCCCCCATGCTGGGGTCCCAACCCAGATCAGGTCCACAGCTCCCATGTGCCAATAAAAATGGGAAACCGGAAATTACTGCTAGACAGAGGTTGATAGTTACATGCGCTCTGGCCCTTTGGCCGATGCTTCTCTAGGGATGGGTGGCAATGACCTGTTTTTCCTTGCTGATGCTCATGAGCTAAGCACTGAGCACGGCTCAGCCAGTCCTCAGGAGCCAAGCAACACGACACGAGGGCAGGGATGCGCTGATATATGTGGACAGGCATGTGCCCAGCCATCACCTCACAGCCTGCTTTTGGATTGTGCCAGGAGCCAAGCCACGAAAGCGGCCACTGACCAAGGGCCAACCCTCCCATCCTGGCTGTAGACCCACATCTTGGCTTAAACCCACAGCCAGGCTGTGGCACTGTCTCTGCCCTGGTGGGGCCAAACACACAGGCATCTCAGAATCCTCCAGGGCTCTGGTGGACTCACTCAGCGCGGTACTCTTCCTACTGAATACGTCCTGACCTTCCCTCCCAAGGGATGAAGGCAGCATACGTGGCCCTCTTTCCCTATTTTATCTGCAGGACAACGCTCTGTGGTAGGATTATGCCGAGAGACGGAATGGCACATGATCACCCACTGAACTTCACGGCAATTTGAACCGGAGTCTCTGCTCTTGCCCAGTGCCTTGAAATGCTGGCTCTTTCCTATGTCCACCCAGGTAAGCCCAAAGGACTGAAGTTACAGTATTCTATGGTTTTTGCCCCTTCATCCTCTTGCCCCATTTTCTCCATCCTGGAACAGTTAGGGGGTTCTCCTGGGTGATGGTGTTGATTGAGGGCTCCTAAAAAGTTTAACCTATTCCTGTTATTATTCCCCCCCCCCCGGGAAAATGGTTCCCATATCTCTGATCAAATTCAAGACATTCTGCTAAGACATCTCACTGGCTCTGATGCAGCAGCAAACGGTGCTTTCTCTCCATCCTTTGCCCACCAACCGTCTAAGGTGCACAGGATTCAAGCCCCCTCAAGGAATTTTGGCATCTGAGGGAGAAAATCCCACAGGTACTTGCTTTGCCTGGTGGCAAAAGATGCATTAAGCAAGTCCCTGACTGGAAACTCAGGAAAAAGGAGATCTGCAGACACCCATCCCATCTTCCCCACCTCTTCTCACCCCAGTGGAGGCAAAACTGGCAGATGGCATTCCCGGGTGAACATGAGGACGCTGGGATCCAAACCCCCACTGGCAGGTGACCTCCAGCCCCGCCTGGAGGGCCTCGGCCCCCCAGTGTATAAAATGCAACTGTGGCCAACCGCGCAGGGCTTTTGCAAGCCGGGCAGGCCAAGGGCGGGAATAGGACCGTCGGGTCAGCAAAGGGGGCCGTGCGTGCGGCAGTAGTCACAAAAGCCTAGCTCCTACCTCCACGTGTCTTGCTACAGGGCGCGCCTCGGCGAAAACGCGAGGGAGCTGGAAGGCGGCTGCCCTTCCCCGGGTCCGGCCTATGCAAGCACCCAAGGCGGCCCTGCGCTGGGGCACAGAACTGCTTCGCGCGAGCCGGCGAGAGACCTTCCTCTCCGGGCGCTCTCCGCCCCCTCCCCGCACCGAGCCGCGCCGCGCCGCGCCGGCTTGCTATTTTTGGCCGCCCGCTCCCCACTCCGCTCCGCCCGCGAACAAGGCGAGCGAGAAGTCCTTGCGGCTCTGCTATATAAGGGAAGGCAGGCGCTCCTGCCGGCGGAGAGGCTGGGGCAGCGCGAGGGACGAGGCACGCGTTTGGCACGGCGCGCGCAGAGGCGATCGCGCCGGGACAATCGGAGGCGGCCCCCTGGCGCACGTACGGGGAGTCGCCGCCG